AAATACAACGTTCTCGAAAACCAGATTACTCAAAAATTGAGATGTTTATGAATTTCATTAAAGAAGCCATTTGTGATAATAAGATGAAGTGTATAAATATCTACTCGGCTGGATTGCATCAATGATTCAACATCCTGGAATCAAGAATGAAACAGCAATTATTTTGAAAGGACTTCAGGGAACAGGTAAAAACAGATTTACAGACATTAATTTCTGAATTCTCGCTGGTTATTCATGTAAAACATTACTGAAATAGGTGAGCTAACGGGTAATTTCAACTCAGTAGTTGAGAATAAAATGTTTCTTGTACTTAATGAACTCAAGAATGTAGGTGAAGACAGACTCGCAAACTTCAACGCTTTGAAAATCAATTATTACGGATAATGAGATTAGAATTAATGAAAAGAATCAACCAGAAGAACTGCTCAATGTTGCTAATTTCATTTTGGTAACTAATAACGTCTACCCTGTCAAAATTGAAGTTGGAGACAGAAGATACGTAGTTTTAAGAGTTAATGGTAAATTCAAGGGTCAATTTGATTATTTCAAGAATTTGATGAATTCATGCACAAAGGAATTTTATGATAACCTTTTAACATATTTTATCAATTACGACCTTTCATCATTTAACGTACAAATTATACCGATGACTGAAGCCAAACAAGATTTAATCGAATTATCAACAAATCCTTTAGATGTATGGATAAATACACATTATGATGAATTGTGTGCAGGTATGACGTGTAAAAATGCTCTATTCTGCAAACCATCAGACATGAAAGACAAAAACTTTCAAATGAGCATTAAAGATAAATGTGAAAGGAAACAGAGAAGAATAGATGGTAAACAAACATGGTGTTATGTTTTGAAAGAAGAAATGAAAGGATTATATAAACAGGTTGAACCAAACGATAATGAGGATTCATTTACTGACGATGAAATACCTGTAAATGAAGCTTTATAAAGTATGATTTGAATTTATTTTTGCATTAATCCTGCTGTGTTGTCTAAATGTCATGTTGTCACACTTTTTAAAAGAAGTTAATTAACCTGGTGACATGGTGACGTGGTGACACCTTCAGTTATTCAAAAATAATTCATAAATGCCTTCCTCCTTTCGTACCTGTTGTCTAAATGTCATGTTGTCATCATTTTTAAAAGAAGTTAATTAACTTGGTGACATGGTGACGTGGTGACATGGTGACGTAGTGACACCATCAGTTATTCAAAAATAAATTTTCTTATAAAGCTTCAGGGTCTATTTCTTCAACCATTTCACTTCCTTCGTCAATGTCAATAGAAGCTTCTTCAACCTTTGGTAAGAATTTCTGTATAACATCTTTGTTCGTTATTGTCTTCAGAGATGAAGGATAATATTTCACATTTGTTTCACCCTTCTTATATTCTTTCTGTTCGGAAAGATTTAAAGCAATACTGAAGAAGTCAATGTTAGAGTTCTTTATGACAGTATAATGAGTATCTTTGACATTCACGAAGAAACTCTTTTGTTTCAAAACTACTGCTAACTCTTGTGAAGTATAACGTTTGCGGTCAATGACGATAGCTAATGGTCTGACATACTGACCAAACTTAGATTCTTTCACAAACTTCTTGTTAAAGATAACATTAACATTTGAAGCATTATTGAACTCATTCTTGATGGCAGTAGCGAGAGCATTGTATGAAAAGAACTTGCAATCTTGCATGTGTTTCATTAAAATAAAAATTAAATTATTTTGAAAAATAACTTAAAAAATCTAATCTAATTTTTTCAAAAAATATTTTTTATTTCCTACTAAAGATGTATCGGAAGTTGTCTAAGTTAGAACACTCGGAAATAAAACAACTTCTTACAGAAGCTAACATAGATGTTGCAAAACATTACGCGACAAACAAAAAAGCACTCGCTGACATCCTCAATGACTATAATGGTGCAATAAGTTATGATAGAATTCATGAGTTCATAAAGCCGCAACGCGGCGAGGACGAAGTCCATGCAAGAGCATTTCCTTTAAATGACGTTGCTATTGACTTATATCATAGACGTTCAGTACCTCATGAAGTAAGAAGAGAAATGTTTGACATAACAAATGCAAACGTTGGTGAAACAAGAAGAAGAGACGACACACTGAAACAACAGAGAAGAGAGATGTTTAAGAGCGCTATAGAACAAGTTCGCAAAGCTAACGATGTCATTCGTTCCATTGACGACAAACCAAAAGAAGGTGAGAGATGGTTAAAGAAAGATGAAGAGAATAGGAAGAGAAATGTGAAGTCAGGCAATAGACTCATTGACTTTAACATTGAAGCTTTAGATGAACCAAACAGAGACTACTTACACAAACATTTCGGTAAGGTTTTCATGAGACTCTTAGAGAAGATTAAAATAAACTCCCAACAAGATGGATGGTATGTTATAAACTTGGTGGAAAGTATGAATGTTCTACGTTAAACCTCAATAATATTGGAACATTACTACATCAGCTCTTGAAGGAGAACTTTATATCAGAGATAGAAGCAAATGCTGCAGGTATTGTTGAAATGCACTATGACTTCTTCTTGACAAACATAAAGAATCTTACTGAAATAAAGATGTATGATTTAACAGAATATGAAGGCTTAACGATGTCAGATGTAAAGAAAGGCAAACCAAAAAAGAGACCATATAGAGATGAAAGCACACTGACAAATGACCAGAAAGCCATTTTGGAAGCTCTTAAGCAAACAGGAAACCCAGCACTTATAGAAAGCTTTTGGAAAGATAATGGTGAAAAGAAGTTTTATAAGAAGAGAAGCGGTCAGTTCTGGAAGTATCTTTGCACATTACCTATAAATCTTGAACGCTACCAAATCTTCAATGAACTGAACAAAAGAACTGCAACACTTATGACAGAAGATAATGTTTCGTTTATGCTTGCATTCAGGCTGGAGTAAATGAAGAAACTATTGACCACATGAGAGAAGTCATTCGTGTTAGAGACTTTCCTCAAAGTAAAGTACAAGAAATTTCTGACGCAACAGGTATAGCATTTAATGTTACCATTGGTTACTTCAATGACTCAAGACATAATGAAATAAAGAGATACATACCAAAGAATGTGAAACTGTTCGAACTATTGACTTACTTCTTGTTGAAGACCACTACATGCTAAACGAAAGATTACCAATGACAACATATTTTCATTCGCAACTATATAGAAATTTAAGGAGTGTGGTGGAATGAACATTGAGAAACAGATGAAGATTTATACAAAGAGAGAGAACAAATATGTAGTTCGTTATGATAGAACAACACCGTTATGGGATGTTATGAAAACATTGTGGGAGTGCAAATATTTCGAACCTATTTCTTATGGAGAACTTTTCACATATACGACTGACTTATATAAACAGAACCTTGCACCATTTAAAGATTTGACATATGCTCCAAAGTATTGTGTACAACTGAAGAAGAAAGCCGAGTCAAAAGAAGTAAATAAAGCTAAATGTAAGTTCATTCCTGAGCACGTTTTCTTTGCTGACTTTGAGTGTAGCACAGACGGCTTTCATAAAGCCTTTAACATTTGTTATGACAGTGAAGATGGTTCAGTGAGTGAAAGCATTTGGGGTCAGAACTGTGCAACAGAATTTTTGGAACGACTTCCTGACAAGAGTTTAATATATTTCCATAACCTCAGTTATGATATAAACTTCATCTTAAGACACATGACAGAAGTGAAAGGAACTCCCATCATTAAAGGTTCACGAACAATGCAAATAACTGGCTTATATAAAGGAAGGGCAATTATTATAAAAGACTCTTACAGTGTTATAAATAAGAAGCTTAAACTATTTCCTGCTATGTTTAACTTACAAACAGGACCGAAAGAAGTATTTCCATACAACTACTACAGCAGTGTTTTGTTAGCAAATGACAACAGAACTGGTGTCATTTCTGAAGCGTGTAAGTTTGTAAAAGATATTGATACGTTCATGAAAAACATAGATTCCATCAAAGGTTGCAGAATAGATGAAAACCATTTCGATTTAGAAAAATATAGCTCATTTTATTGCAAACAAGATGTAAGAATTTTAAGAGAAGGTTTTGTTAAGTTCCGCAATGACATATTAAAAGAATTTGATTTAAACGTTTATGACTACGTTAGTATTTGTTCTATTGCTAACAAATTGTTTGAGAACAGAGTGTACTTCCCGAATGGAAATTTATATGACCTCTCAAATAAACCAAGAGAATTTATTTCACGCTGTATTCAAGGTGGAAGATGTATGCTGTCAGATAACATTAAACAAAAGAGCGAAAAGAAACTCATTGCTGATTTCGACGCTGTTTCATTATATCCATCAGCTATAGCAAGACTTTATACTTTAGAAGGTATTCCAAAGGTTATGAAGAAAGAAATGTTAAGCACAGAGTATCTCATGAGACATTTATTCGATGACGACCAAAAGGAACCCATTGGTGAAAAGTTTATGTCTGGCTTCTTTGTTCTCATTAAGATAACAGAGATTGGAATACATAGACACTTTCCTTTAATAGTTTGTGACCCTGAACTAAATCCAGAACTTAACGTTCCAGAAGTTCAAACACTTGCTGTTTAATGTATGTTGACCATATAACATTACAAGACCTCATAAAATATCAAGGTGTCAAATGTGAAGTGTTGCAAGGATACTATTACGATGGAAACAGAGATATTAGAATAAGAGATGAAGTAAAGAAGTTGTTTGAGTTAAGGTTAAAGTATAAGAAAGAAGGAAATCCTTTGCAAGAAAATATAAAGCTCATTCTGAACAGTATTTATGGCAAAACTATTCTATCTCCTATTGGGTCAAAAATAACCATAGTAAATGACAAAGATGCTATAAGATATGCCATCAGAAACTACAACCATATAGTGAAGTTCGAAGGTTTGGATGGTTCAGATAAAACTATTTTCAAGCTAACGAAAAGTATTTGCAGACACTTTAACTTCTGTCCACTTGGTGTTAACATTCTGTCAATGTCGAAGAGAATAATGAATGAAGTATTCTGTACTGCTGAAGATATGGGACTTCAAATATTTTACCAGGACTGTGATAGCATGCATATTTTCAATGAAGACATACCAAAGCTTGCAGCAGAGTTTAAGAAGAGATACGGTAGAGAACTTATTGGTAAAACATTAGGTCAATTTCATTCTGACTTCGCAGAAATAACACCTGGAAAACAAAGTTTAGCATACAAGTCAATATTTTGTGGAAAGAAGACCTACATAGACTTACTCACGAATGATTTAAATGAAGTTGCATTCCATGCACGTTGTAAAGGTGTAAAACAAGACGTCCTTGCTTTAACAGCTAATGAAATGTTTCCTGAAGCTATACAATGCTATTACAATGAAGTTAAGAACATTCACATACCTGTTGGAACATATGACAAAGACTCTGAGTTCAGTTTAATGAAACTTTACAAAGCACTTCATGATGGTCAAGAGATTGGATTTGACTTATGTAAGTCATGTCAACCTTGCTTTGCTGAAAAGTTTAACTTCTCAATAACGACTAAAACAAGCTTTATTCGTAAGTTGAAGTTCTGAGGTCATGAATGAGGTCATTTATTTTTGTCAGCAATGAGGTCATGAATGAGGTCAGCAATGAGGTCATGAATGAGGTCATTTATTTTTGTCAGCAATGAGGTCATTTATTTTTGTCAGCAATGAGGTCATGAATGAGGTCAGCAATGAGGTCATGAATGAGGTCATGAATGAGGTCATTTATTTTTGTCAGCAATGAGGTCATTTATTTTTGTCAGCAATGAGGTCATGAATGAGGTCAGCAATGAGGTCATGAATGAGGTCATGAATGAGGTCATTTATTTTTGTCAGCAATGAGGTCATGAATGAGGTCATTCGTGATAAAAATAAAACTAGCGTAGATTTTACAATACTGCGATGGTAGAGTTTAAGAGTTGTGCTTCAATGTAGAGACAGTCCTTATGGTCTGGAGGTAAGAACACTGGGCAGTTATGGTCATAAGTGGAGAACATGTCTATCCAAAACTCACGATTGAAGTCAGTTAATTTATAGTATTTAGGGTTAGGAAGTGGTGAAGTTCTTGTATGACCAATGAACTCATTTTCAACGCCCTTACTTAAGTTTGAATATAATATAGCTTGCTTTCTATCCCAAATGCCGGGTGTTACAATCTTTGAAAATTCATTTTTCCTCGGAAGCATTGCATCATAATTGAAAACATTTTTGAAATCATCACTTGGTTCAGAGATTTGAAATCTTATACGTAATGGATTTTCTTTCTTTTTAGCGACTTCAATGAATGGTGAATATATAACAAACTGACAGTCATGAGTTCCATCTTTATTTTCATTAAATTCATAATGAAAGTCTATAAGTTGTGGCCGACTACCTTCTTCTTTCAGTTGTGCAAGAAACTCACGTAAAGGCTGTAAAGTTTGTACTTCAATGTTAAACTTTTTCTCGAACATCTCATTAAATGAAATCATACATTGCAACAATGTTGTATCATCTTTAAAGTATTTGTATATGTGAATGTTTTGGGCGCTTAAAGACTGTTCGTCATTTTCTATCTCGACTTGAAGTATAAAGTCAACCTTTCTGAAAGCACGTGTTATATACATAGATGTTATGCCAATGTACTTCTCTTCATTTATGTTCACAATCCAGTCTGTTGGAAACTTAAACGTTACTCTGTTCCCCTTTATTTTGACGTCAGGGTTTTCACTACTGAACGCAACAGATAAAGGTATTTGTCTATACATTTAATTCGGATAAAAATAAACCATTTACTCTTTCTTTGCTTCAGCTTCTTTAGCTTTTGCTTCAGCTTCTTCTCTAGCTTTCTTCGCCAGCAAGCGTGGGTTCTTCTGTCTTCCAGCAGCTAATGCAGCAAGTTGTTTTTCACTAAGTTTTCTCTTTGGTCTCTCTGGCTTTTGTTCTTGTTTTTGTTCCTTCAGTTCGGATAAAATTTGCTCACGAATTTCTTTCTTCAATGCTTCAACATCTATGACCTCTTGGGTCTTGTCCGTGGGGCTTGTCTGAGTCATTTGACTGTAGATAAAAAACAAAATTAAAACTTTAACCGATGTAAAATGAGCTTGTCAAAATCAGAGCGAGAGTCTATTATATTAAATGACTCAAGAGGAATACAACATCCTTTCTATTACGTAAGTCAGAGTAAAGATGGTAAAATATACGTAAGATAAAGAAAGGTTCCATTAGCGAATGCAGAAAGCGACAGTATTAAGGTGCATGGCACCGAGGGCGAAGCCCATGTTAAGCCTTCTATTCAAACTGAAAAGTCAATAGAACCAGAAGAAAAGAAGCCAGATGTACTTTCAATAACGAACCAAGAGCTTATTGCAAAGTTCGTGAATTTCATTGAAAAACAAACCGAGTCAAAGAATCCTGACCCGCCAGTGAAAGAAGTTGAGACAAAAGAGAATGTACAGTTCATTGAAAATGTCAAGAAACAACTTCCACCACGAATGCCAAGAAGAAGAGTGAGAATAATGAAGTAAATAGATATTTTTATCTGAAGTAAATACATGCAGAATGAACAGCTAAACGAATTTACTCCAGCAGAGCATATTCATCAGATTCGCTCATATTTCGATATCATAGACAATGCAGTTCAAATTGGTGACACTAATAGAAAATATTCTGACGCAAAGATTCCATTACAACCTGGAACTGCTAAAGATAACACATGGGTAACATTCAATCTCTCACCTCCTGGTGAAAATATGTTGGACCTTTACAATACATTCATTACGTATAAAATGGAAGGTCAATTTATTGTAGATAAAGAAATTGGTTCAGGTTCCAATAAAACAAACCCACCAGGATTTTGGATTGGTTTCGATGACGCTTTCTATGCAGTTGCTGGATATCAAATCCTTGCAAATGGTCGTATCGTATATTCTCAAGACAACGCACGAGAAGAAGCATATATAACTTCAAACTCACAAACTACCGAACAAATAAAGAAAGTAGATGTTTTCTCAAAGACTCGACATGAAGATGTATGGAGTCATTCGGGAACATGCAGAACAGGACAAATTGTTAGTGGTCCAATTACAGCAGGAAAATCATTTGATTTTAAGCTTCGTTTAAGAATTCCTGTTAGAAGATTCCTTCCATTAGAAGCTATTCGATTTATTCCAGCTTTTGCAGGAAACATTCAGCTTAAAGTAAAGTTCAGTAGCGACGCCTTACAATGCACATCTATATCTGTAAATGATATCATTGCTTTCAATCCAACTCTTAAAGTTGCATTTGCTTCAGATTCAAATCCACCGACAAATAAATTTGTTCCATGGAATGAACCATTCACTATGATAACGAAGGCAGTAGAAGCTAGTGGAACAGTTACTATTACAACTTTAACCCAGCAACTATTTCGAACAAAGATGGATTTTAATGAATGTTTCATTCATCCAAAGTCATTCTCTTTAGACCCTAACATTTATACAGAACTTGTAGAACATTATACAAACGAGGCTTTATGTTTTCCTGTTAAAGTTATGGATTGGATTCCTATGGACGGTTCATTCTCAAAGAATACAGATAGTTCAAGTGCAACATTTACAGCAGCTTATACGCCTATTAATGTTAAAAGTATTTGGGCACTATTTAGAAAGAAAGACAACTATTATGTTAATTTTGAGAACCCTAAGTTTAAATATCTTCAGCTTTCCATGGGAGCTTATGGAAATATGCCTGCAGAACCTGAAAAATCATATGGACCTGTATTTTATGAAATGGTTGCGAACGCTTGCAATACAAACAATGATATGATAGGATTTAATGAAGATGTTATGAGGTCATTGGTGGATGATGGTAGTGTGGAACATAAATGGGATAGCTATGACAACACACATTTCTTATGTGGTTTTCCAACAGAAGTGGACTTTTGCTTCCAGCAAGGTCAAACATCTACTGCTCCAATAACATACAAATTGTCTGTTAAAGGACCTATTGAACTAGCAACTGAAAATGTACCAAAGCCACTTATTGGATTTATGAGGGATTGTTGCTTTGCCATTCAGGTGCGTGCTAATGGCATCCCCATAATAAGATTAGATGACTATAACTTAGCTACGGACGACAGTGAGGAATAAAGGATGAACGTTTATTTTTAAAGCTTATAAATGAGTTCTTCATCAAGCTCTCGTGAACTTTCACCATCTATGAAACAAACTTTACCAAACGATTATGGAGCACCTATTGAATATTTCTTACGAGCTGCACAATGGCAAAGAGCAGTCTCACCAAGGTTAGGTGTTCCACCAGCTCCTGTCAAAAATAGCATTTGGTCAAGTCCTTATATAAGATATGGTCTCCCACTAGGTTTGCTAGCTACAGCAGGAGCAGTTATGATGTTGAAAAGAAATAAAGCAAATGTTGTAAATAATACTGAAGTAGCTGAAGTTAAACAAACTCCAACACCTTCGCCAAAACCAACGCCTTCACAAGCAAAACCTTCAATGACTCCTGAACCTATGGAAGTACAAACTCCTGTTCAAAAGTCAACTCCTAAACCGACTCCAACATTTAAACCAGAACCTACTCCTCAAATAAATCAGGAACTATTCCAGAAGGTTTTTACATTCATAATATGAAGGATGGTAGAGTTCAGTTTAGAAAGATAAAGCAACCATTAGATAAAGAAGGAATTTTGAGAAAGATTAAACTTCATGAGGACAACATTGCTGAACTTAAGAAGAAGCTAGAAGAGTTGGATAAAGGAAGAGAGTTATAAAGCAATGAATTCAACAGGGTGAAAAAACAGGTGAAAAACAGGTGAAATCTCACCTAAATTTATTTTTGTGCTATGTTTTCATACGTGTGAGGGTGGTGATATCATTAATTTTTAAGTTTATTTTTTATTTTATTTTTTATTTTATTTTTATATAAATGACGAAAACTATTGAGATAACAAACTACAACGGTCATGAGTTCAAGAATTTGTTCTTTGTTCCTCGTGAAAATACATTCTATCAGATACGAGGGAGAAAGGGTAAAGTTAGTTTGAGCGTTTACGACAACAAACATAATGGGAGATATATAAAAGCAATAGATACAAACGGTAAGCGTGTTTCATTAGCTTTGTCAAAACTTACATACATTTATTTTGACAGTGATTTTGACTCTGACGATTGGAGTGACAGCAGCGATACTGAAGAATATGAACTATTGTGTGAAGCACAGCAATGGGAAGCGCTGCAATACTTTTGTAAATGAGAACATTAGTGGGAACGTTAGTGAGAACGTTTATTTTTTCATTAGTGAAGTCGTTAGCGAAAATGTTAGTGAGGTGAAGTGATTGGCGGCTTTGTAAATATTTAAGGTTAAGTTAGTGTTGTCGTTTGTGTTGTAAAATATACGTTAGTGGTTTTGTAAAGTGTCAAACCGTTATCTTGGGTAAGGTGGAACGCAGTGCCGCCGTACCCAAGATAGGGATACTAACTTAGGTTCGGGTCAGTATTTCCTTCCTTGAACTTTCTAATAGCTTCTTTATATCTGTCACTAAAGTCAAGAGTATCTGGGTAACCATAATCTTCCTTAAGCATTTTTAAGAATTCTTGGTTTCCTTTTTCCCTACTTCTTTTATGTCCTTGCTCTGTTTGTGGTTGTTGTTGTGCTGGATTTTGAACTGTTGGTTGTTGTGTTGGTTTTGGTGCATGCCTGTGTCTGTGTCCATGTGACGATGTAAATGTTTTAGGTAGTCCTGGTGCAGGTGCTTCTCTTGGAGGGTTTGGTGGTATATAAGTTCCACCAGCTGGCACATATGTTCCATCTGCAGCATAATGTCCTACCTGACTTTTCGTTTTTAAGAAAGCATTTACTAGGTCTGTTTTGGTCTGTTGTAACTCTTTTCTTGACTTTCCACAACAGCTGCTCTAACGGCGTCATAGGCACTTTGAACTGCCTGTCTCGTTGCTGCATCTGTTATTTTCGTCATATTTTGTGCTACCTCTCTTAACTCTTTGTCGAAACCTTCAGACTTCAGTTTCTTTCCAGATGAGAAGTCGTTCACTAGTTTCACCTTACTATGAAGAGCTTCGAAGGCATTCTTAAAGTCAGCATTCATTAAAGCTTCATTTGAACTGTCTTCATCCGCTTGTATTTTTGTCCTTATTGACCCTATAAGTTGGGCTGCTTTAGCGTTGGCTTGGGCATCTAACCAGTCATTATTAGCATTTTATAATATCTGCGCTTTTCATTGCCTTTTGCATGGCTGCGTCGTTATTTTTACTTTCTTGTGCTAAGTTTTCATACTGTACGGTTTGGTTTTGCAACTGTAAAAGTTTTTCTGCCTTTACATTTGCTTCAACTTCTTTTTTATACTCATCGCTATCCATATATGTCTTCATGGCTTTTTGTTTTATCTCTTCATCTTTCAGTACTTTATATTGAGTAGTATGGTTTTTCAAATTTATAACATCTTGTTCCATTTTTGCTACTTCTGCTGCTTTTTCTGACACTTTTTTTGCATATTCCTCTGTACTTAGTTCTTTCAGTTGTTCTTCTTTCTTCTTTTTCTCTACGTTTAACTCATTTAGTTTCTTTGTGTGTCTGTCATATTCTAGTTTCTTTTCGTTTTCACTTATTTGTTTCTGTATGTCTATGTTTGACTTTTTGACATCTGTTATTTGATTTTTGAGTGAACTCAAATTCATTTGACTTTGAGGGTTATAAGCTGTTCCGTCTGCAGCTCCACCATAGCCTGCCATTTTCGCTAAAAGTGCCGCTCTTAAACCTCCACTCTGTGCACCAATAACTCTGTTTAAAAGCATAGGGTTGCTTGACATTTGTTGCAACATAGTGGGGTCATTCATCATTTGTTGTTGCAACTGTTGTTGTGGTGTCAGTTTTAATATTGGATGTTTCAATGCTCCCTTCCTCTTACGTATATTCTTACGTAGCTTACGTGGCATTTTAAGTGAAGTTAAAAAGTGGTTTTTGACAGATGTTTATATGACACTTTTTGTTCAGCACAAAAAACTACTCGGTCAAAGTGTTGTCAGTTTTGTAAAATAACGGTCCTATCTCATTCTATAAGGGGGAAAAGGCTTCTCAAAGTATACTTCCTTGGAACGCCTGTAACTTTTCCTGTAGCGACGATAGACCCTTACTTGTCCGGACAAAGTTATACTATTTTGAGTGCTCTACAAAAAAGTCAACGGCTGGCTCGTCCTCAGAAATTTTTTATGGGCTAGAGGGCGCAACGCGCCTGGAAGCCCCACTTGCCTTCCCTTTTTGAAGTGCAAAAAAGCAATATTTTTTGATTATGTTAATAATTTTTTCATTCTTCAACTTAAAGCTGATCAAATCTCAACCATTATGATAAAAATGATATACATCATACAAATTACAGGTAAATTAATAATGATTTTATTTCTACAACAACAAGTCAATAGAATAAACGTATCTAAGTGTATTCGTAAATTCCTTGTAATGGTTATTGATCATGATATCAAACAATAACAATGCGATAAGATTTCAAATTTCAACTTGAAATGAACCTTACGAAATCCAAGTAATTGTTTGGCAATTAATTATAATTTGGTGAGAAAAGTCAATTCACTCCTGCAAAACTGCATTAATGCATTTTAACATCGCAATTTAATCTCTACACAAAAATCGTAGTTGCCGATTTACTGTATATTTCAACTGCGCATTCATTATTTGAAGGCGATTTATATATCTGATTATCTAACAAAATTTTGGCTGGATACTATCGAATCGAAAATTGATTTTTTAATGTATGCTTCAGTAAACGTGATTCATGTTTTTAATCATTTTAGATGCTATCCCATTACTGTGAATAATTTATAACGACATTTACTGAAATTGTTAAATATAATCAATCCAGAGAGGGGTAATTCGAGTAAACATCCTATTACAAAGCATAGATTGCTATGTTCTGTTGTAATGCCGCAATGATGGCTTGCTTGATAAAATACATAGGGAGATTAGAGGCTTTAATATGCCCTTGATTTTTTTAAACTTTAAGGTTATATCTTTTAAAAATGACAAAAAGCTTAATTTATAAGCTTTGTATAAAAATTCTTGATGAATTGAACTCATATTTGTTCATATAATAGAAAGTAATATTATGGTGAACCAAAGCATATGCTATTGAAATAACATGAGAATTGCTAAATATGCTTAAATGTTGCTCAACCAAGTTGATTATGGTAATGAAAACTACCATCAACTGTTAAAAAAATTGAGAAGCCTTAACGATGGTACCTGAATTTGGAAGTAAACTATTTAATTATCCGCCGTTGTTCACAAAAGTCAATTATAAAAAAATGGAGGAAAAATAATTATGACTATATATAGATGTTCAATTGATAGCAAATCTAAAAAACGTTTTAAAACAATTATCAAATGAGCTGCATATCAAAGACATACTCATCTCCTGGTTCTTATCTTTTGGATAATTCGACCAATTGTTCGTCAATTTCGATATCAAGTTCAATAAATCAAATCCCACATTGATTTTTTTAAATACATATTTTTTGTATTATCAATCAACCTTAATGAATGTACCAGCTTCAATACCCTATTTCAGCAAAGATACGTTTCAATACGATCAAAATCAGACATATCCTTTCCATATTGTTGAATGGCCAAATGATTGTACTCAAGGAAAAATAATAGTTAATGCAACCAATTATTCGACAACATTATCAAGTACAACATTAATTCATGATTACACATACTGCTATTATATATCTAGTTTTGGAAACATCAGCATTAATGTTAAAAATGGATTCAACTATACCAACGTTGACTACTTCTTAAGCGATAAAATATCATCAAGTAATTCAAATTCATTAAAGAACAATCTTTCTCTTATTTCTCCATTTATTGGAATTAGAATTCGAAGTTTTTCTCCAAGCGATGACGGGAAAAATTTCACTATTGGAATAAATAGTAGCGCAATCAATCAATCATCATTCTACGAAAATGAGTTTTATTTTACTATTACAACCCCTTCTCCAACAAACACATCATCAAAAGGGACAAATAAAAAGACAGTAATTATCGTCATAGTTGTCGTTATTGTAATCATACTTGTAATATTAGCCTGCATCTGTTATAACAAGAAAAATAAACAAAAGGTTTCACCAGAAAACGAGCAAAATGAACAGCAACAAGGCCCTACTAATCAAAACTCAACACAACAACAACAAAGTTCAAATAATTATCCAGGTACAACAAATGTTAATTACCAGCAGCAATATCCAAATACTGTTCAATATGGATCACAGGCAAATTACCAACAACAATATCCTAATCAGAATTATCAACAATACCAACAACAGCAATATCAGCAGCAAAATTATCAACCTCAGCAATACGAACAACAGCAATATACCATGCAACAACAATTTGCCCAACAAAATTATCAGGCACAACAATATGCCCAACAACAACCGTACCCACAGCAAAATTATCAGCAGCAACAATATAACCAACAGCAATATCAGCCACAAATGTACCAGCAAGGCTATCCAGGCCAACAATAGACTGTATATTCATGAAACTGAATAAAAATTAATAATTTTTTTTGATATTTCTCTCTTAAGATCGAGTCGAAATAGCACATAGAATAATTTAGCATATATTTGAAAGATAATTTTTTTTAATTAAAAGAATAAATGCTCAATATATAGCTTTCATTATTTAAAATAATAAAACCTCATTTGTAATTCAGCATTTTGTCATAATACACATTGATATGAAGATAAAATCAGTTTATGATATTATAATATGATTAAAATTGAATCACATACGACAATTCATTTAAAATTAATGCCTAATTCCTATTATAATATTATTTTCTTGGGTATTATATAATCATGTGAATAGCTCGAAATGGACAACAAATAAGTTATATGGAGTTAATTCTAAGTCAGAATTTAGCATGATTATTATGAAAATAGCACTAAATTAGAAACAATCAATTTTGAAAGCAAAAAAAGATAACTACGATCAAGAAGATGCTGTTTTGAAATAGTTTCGATTTATCGATTATATACCAAGATAATTTCTTTTTGATTTTGAGAGAGTAAAATACTAATTTACATAAAAGTTATGTGAATCATAAAACAATCTCTAATTTAACTTTACTGTCATGTGTGTACTTGGGAAACAATTGTTATTCAATCCAACGTATTTAATCTAATCAGTTTCTGAGATTCCTTAAATTGTTAATTTAAAACTCTTTCCAATAATGGTTACTATACTAATTTACTTTCCAACGTACTAAATTATTCCAATTTCAATTCTTAGAATAAAAAAATTGTACACAAAATTGTCAAAATTTAATAAAATTCGATTTACTCAAGAATAGCAATATAATAAAAATAAAACAAAAAATTATCAAGAAGTATCACAATCCATTAATTTGCAAAATAATATTACATTCAAATGATTAAATAAAACCATTTTTATTCTGAAAAAAAATTTCAATTTTTTGAAAAGACCTATGAACCTTTATATTATATCATCAACTGCATGAATATTAATGATCAATATTTTCTAGTTTTTGAAAGAATTTCGTCAATAATCAGTTTGAGAACAATATTGAAAATACAATTGAAAACAGGATAAATAGCAATTATCCCACATATATAATACATTATTTTTTTAAATAAATTTTTCTTCAAAATAAATTATTTTCAAAAAATAATTTTATAAAATAATAATGAAAACAAGTTATGTTAGGAGATCAAGATCGGGATACAGAAAAAATGCTCCGAAAAACAAGTTCACTCTCTCAGAAGATAATGCGCTACGCGTCCTCGTGGAAAAATTCGGGGAATCCAATTGGGATTTAATTTCGAATATGATTCAAACAAGAAATAGTAGACAATGTCGTGATAGATGGGAATATTACTTAGCCCCAAAGCTTAACAAAAATCCTTGGTCTGAAGAAGAAGATAAAAAACTTATTCATCTTATAAGAACTGTTGGCCCTCATTGGGTCAAAGTTTCTAAATATTTTGATGGAAGAACAGATACACAAATTAAAAATAGATGGAATATTCTAAAACGTAAGTTATCAAATGAGAAATACATTGAAACTTCAGAAGATGAGCCTAAAGTTAAACAGGTTAGTGATGAAAGTTGTAAAATTCCTGTGAAGCGAGCGGATATTACCCAGCAAATTGTTGTTAATAACAATGATCCTATTTTCGGAAAAATTGAAATTGCTTGCAATCAAATTGCGACAGATCTTTCTGATGACCCTTATATGGGATTTTTATAGACTTACGGCTTCTTTGTTCTTCTTTTTGTAAATTTCGAAAGGTGACCAAACTATTTTTTGAAAGTCCGCCATAACTTTAATGGTACTATTTCAGCGTGTACAATGAATACAAAAATTCTAAGAGTGCCACATAAAATAGTACTTTAGACTTGAGTTAATGCTACCAAGCAAATGTTAAAAAGATGACTTTAGTGTTTTGATAATCAAAGATTAAAATCATTATTGTCTAAATCAATAATCATAACGACAGAAGTTAATGTTTTTTCATCAGTGCTTTAAATCCACTTTTAAAAGTATACCTCAAAAATCAAAATATCAAAAAAAATTGGCCGATAGGTTTGGCTTTAATTTTTGTCTGCTTTTATGATTTGATATGGATGTTATAATTTTAAAAGTTGAGCCAAATTCACCAATAGATTTTTGAGATTTGCAAATACTCAATAATTTTCAGCGTGTTATCTTTTATTAAAAGAACTATTTGGTTTCAGTATCATATAAATTGATATTTACTTTCTATTTGAACCTTCATTTAGCTAATGATTTAATAATACAGATTTCATCTAGTCCTTATAAGAGAATTTTGAATTTGTTATAATAAAAAAACAAACAGATATAGCTTACACTTCTATAATAAAGATACCTTTTATAGAAATCAGTATGAAATGTGTTTTGGCTTATTGGAAGCATATCAGACATAATCGCCATAATCAAAAAATCTATATACCCAATAAGTAATAAATTTGTCGATATAGATTTTCCATAAAATTAGTTTTTAGTCTGATCTTAAAATAAATTTAATTTTTTATAAAAAAAATCACATTTAAAAGTACCTTTTTAGTAGCTCGAAATCCTGTTGGTGGATTTCGGGCGTACTTCAAAATTAGCTTTTCTTCTACATATGCAAGCTATATTTTAAATATGGGGCAAATCGGATCGGCGAAAGGAGTTTAGTTACCTTTTTCGAGACTCTTAATTTGTATATTGACTAAATAATCATTTTTCCTTTCTTATCAATCTAAATTTTCTTAGAATGATAATAATAAATCTCCAAAAATTAGTGTTTAATTCAAAATTTTCCTATTGTTTTTCATAATATTCTTTCCATTCGCCAAATGCTTATATATCGGAATGTTCATGTTCTGTTGAATTAATGACAGCATTTATCTCTAGCATTTTGATTCAAATGTAAATTAATTTATCATTTGTTATTAAATGAATAATCGGTTATTAAGAAATATCCCATTACCAGTTTATTCTAATAATATGAGGGGAAAAAAGTAAATTGAAAAATACAAACAATTTTTAAATAAATTCATAGTGCTTGGTAACTATTTTCATCAATAATTTCTTGTTCACGATCTATAGTTATTTCACCTTGCTTGTTTTTGCTATCATCTGCAAATTCAAGCTTTGGAGGTTCTGAAGGAATTTCCAAAGGAAATTTTATAGTTTGTGATGCATTTAATTTCACAAAAGAGTTTTCAGCCAATTCCTTTAACTCCTTCGAAGCAGGAAGTATCTTATCCATCATCTTTTTAGGCTCAGAACCGCCAATTTCAGCAATATTCTTAAGTACATTAACTATATTTTCCTCAAACAAAGAGATTCTATCATCGAACTGTTTGGAAATCCTTTGCTCGTTTTGATATAGAATTTCTTTAGGACAAAGTTCCTCCTTCCATCCGGAATCTTCGAGAACGTCAAGTTCGTGCTCAATTTCAGCGACTCTTACACCAATATTAGTTTTTACTTCAGTAATTGAAGAATAGCACGATTCAACAGATTTCGATAGATTGGATAAGGCACCAATTACTTGAGATCTTGCAGTTTCTATAGATTCTTCAATTGCAGATATTTCATCTTCAAGCCTTTTTATGTTAGACGCCTGTTCCAGGCAAATGTTGAGCTCTTTATCCACTGTTTTGGATAAAGCACTGATCTGTGATTCTGCTGTCCTTTGTGCATTGTCAACATTCACTTCATGTTTTGCCATGGAGTTCTGTAGTGAAGACTTAGATTTTTGTTTAAATGTCTCTCCTTTTGCAATGACAAGTTCTTGGAATTTCTTGACAGAATCTGCCTCTTTTTGCAGAATTGTTTCAATTGCGTTTCTTGTTTGACTGAAATTTCCTCGAACATTTGAGACAGTTGCTATTATCTCACTCGTCATCACAGCAGCTGTTCTCCCAGAATCATCAATCACAATATCAAGCCGTGAATCTAAGTTGTCAAGCATTTTTTGATCACTGCTTTGCGTGTCCGAGATAGATGAAGAAAGAGTGCTGAAAACATGAGAAAGCTCTTCACTAAAGGACACAGACATCGCAGAGACAATTTGTTTCAAAAGACGGAGAGATTCAGAACTCCTTTTGTTGATAGTTTCCGCATCATTGTGTAAAATATGAATTGAGTGAACGCGAGAATCAGCAACTTTTCGGACCTGAGCTGAAATTTGGTCATAGTAATCTTGAATGGAATGTGTAAGTGATTTTTGCGTAGAAACAAAAGAGTTTGTAACTGTATGATCAAGATTTTCAAAATCATCGTTATTTTTGGAAATTTTTTCGATATATTCAGCTCCATTTTGCTCATGAGTAGATATTTCTTGCATTAATATAGATATTACATGAGAAAGTTGCTTAGTTTCATCTTTAATAATACGAAGTTCTGTTTTTGAAGAATCAGCTAGAGTTTGATTGATGCTTTTAAATTTATTTAAATCTTCTTTCTTTTCTGTAAGTGTGTCCTCGATATTAGATAGCATAGTAGACAAATTTGTTTGGATTTTTGATAAATTTTCTCGGTTTCTTGTTGTTCTTTCTTGAATAGGTTGCAAAGAACTCGGAATTTTGGAAGTAATTGAATTTTCTAAAAGATTGTCAAGTTTTGAAATCTCAGATTCTGTAAAAGGTAATATTTTAGATGATATTCTATCTGCTGCCTCAGACTGTAGCTTTATATTAGTTTGCTGCTCATTAAATAAGTTTTGAACAATGGAAAATCGTGAATTAAGAGATGAAATATCTCTATCATTGGAATTAGGCAATTGCCTTGGAAGAGATGGCATTGGATCTGGTTGGTAACCTGCTAAGTTGATATTAATAGGAGATAATCCAAAATTCTGAAAATTTGGAAGTGGATTCCTGTTTAAGGTTGATGATGCTTGAGAATAGGCTGAAGGATATGCCCTATTAAAAGATTCAGTTCCTCTCTGTTGGTATTCTACTGCAAATTGGGAATAATTCTGAAGGTCTCCTTGATTTTGAACTTTATTGTTAAAATTTATATTTTGTGGATTATAAGGATACATTTGTCCTTGTCTAGTCTGCATTTGCTGTTGTCCTCGAGCGAGAGCTTGTCGCTTACGCTCAGGAATAAACATAAAAAACGTATAATATACAAAAAAATTTTCTTTGAAAAGAGAGATTATCTCATAATCATTTTCCAATTGTGAGATTATGAGGTGAAAATTTTCAATTCAATGAAAGTGACATTCATGGTAGAAAAAAAATCTGTTTTCATAGCCATACCCACGCATGAAGTCAAAGGGGATGCAATAGATGATAACATTTTGGATGCATTTTCAGAAATAATGGAAATAAATCCTGAAAAAATTAAAGTTATTGAAAATAAAAATAATTTTTTCATTTTCAGTGATGAACTTTATATTGACATTAATGCTGCGAATCAGCAAATTATTAACACTCGCATATTAAATGTAAATTATGATAAAGCTATTCATTATTTGACAAAATTAGTTCGAAGATCTGATAGCGCCCAAAATAGACTAATAGAAGGTAATTCTGAATTAAAATTACTTCGTTCTAGAAATACAGAACTAAAATCCAAGTTAGAAAAACTTCAAAAGCAAAACTTTGATTTATAATCGAGAGTATAATCAATTACTCACATAAATTTTGTTTGGTATTAAACACATTATTAATAATATACAATTTATATATAAATATTACTACAAACATAATATAATATTGAAAATCCTATACTTTTTCTTCATTTAATAGTTTCTTTGCATTTTTCCTAGTTCTAATTTTCTTCTTTTTTGGTGTTGCTTTAATTTGCGCTGATATTAAAGCATCTGCAACTTCATTTGAAGCGACTGGTTGAGGAGAAGAGCTTCTAACAGAATTTTTCTTAATGCGACGCTTTCGACCTTTTACGCTTTTGGATCTTTTTAAGCTCTTTATTGGTTTTTGCCTATATTTAATTGGCTCTGCAATGTTATCAATAACGGATGGAGTCTGTTGAACAACAGAGTCGCTTATAACGGATTTAGATGCATTAGGCGTAGGTAAAATTGGTCTTCGCCTTGGTGTTTTGGCTACTTGAAGAGAAGAAACTAAGTCTGCGGCAGATTCAGGAAAATCTTCAACATGGTTGGCTTTGATTCCAGATCTAATGGAATCTCCGGTTGCACTGTATGCTTTTCTTCTGACTTTTGGTAGTGGCAATGGTGGAGATTCCGAAATTGTGGGAATTGGCCCGACATTTTTGTATTCAGCATCCTGTCGAGAAATTTGTGTATCATATGGTTTGTGATTATACGAAAGTATTTTGTTATTTTGCTCTAATCTCAAAATGCCCCCGTAATTTGACATATTGCAATAATTTGAAGCACTAAATACAGTAATAATTTTGCCATCAAAGCCATAGTATATACCACTCATTGCAACTTCATGGCCGCGTATTATTAAAGAAATTTTGTTTCTTTTAAGAAACCTTGATAAATGATTAGGACCAAAAAGAAAACCAAAGCCTCGTGGAGATTCCATAAACGTTTCGGCAGTATCGCATGGATCGGACCATAGTAAGTCGTAAGCTGGACTCGTTTCATCAAATTTATGAAGAGGTCTTTCAACAGATGCAATATCTTTTAAGGTCTTAGAATTAGGTCCAATTCCACCATGAAGGCATAAAATATGTGAATCAATTAAAGCGCAAAGTGGAGTTTGATCAAATGCCCTGACAAAATATGGAAAAAGATTGTTTGATCCGTATCTATTCCTGATCTCGGTTCTAAATCCGAACCTAAGACATACACTGTGATGCTCGTGATTCCCTCGAATGATAAAAACATCATTTGGATAACAAATTTTCAATAAATAAATATAAACTATAGTGTCAATAGAAAATTCGCCTCGATCTATTAAATCGCCAAGAAAAAGGTAACGACTGTGCGGTGGTTTGCCGAAATTATTCAAAATGGTTAAGAGATCTAATAAATTGCCATGAAGATCACCAATGACGTTAATAGGGGTTTGCACGTGCAATATGATTGATTCTTTTGAAAAAATATCCTTAATGTTATCTAGCATATGTATTATTAAAGGTTCTGAAAATACCGGAAGTGTTAATTTAGCATCTCTGTTTACATATTTCCATAGTTCAACTTCAAGTAGCTTATTCATCATAGAAAGCATCTTCTCAGCATCGTATTTGAGGATGATTCCCATGAATAAAGGAAATTTTGATAAATCTCATAGAATTTACAAGATGAACATTGAAATTCTGTGCAAATTCTAACCTATGTCTAACACACGAACACTAAAAGATTCATTTAAAATTTTAGCTTCTCTGTAACCACGTAAAAACCGAAATTGACATCAAAATTTATTTAAAATATGGGTTTTGCATCCAAATTTAAATAAATTAGAAATTTTCAATAATTGAATTTGATAAGATTTTAACTTTTTATTAAAGTTCATCATGTATCCTATTTGTATCGATTCTTCACTTAAAAAAAAGTGCACTTACACCCCTATGATATGGCTTTCAATTCAGATGTTTAAGGTTAATTTTCGATTATGCTTCACACCAGTTGTCAAAAATTTGAATTAAAGTCAGATGGGCGTAAGAGCAGCCGTAATATCAATAATTAGTAGAAAATTAATTTTAACGATAGAAAGTGACAGCAATTTAATTCAAAAAACATAATTCAAGTTTCATGCAAGAATCTAGCTTTGCAAATAGTTCATTCTATGGATGGGTACGTAGGAAAGGGCGAAGTGGACTTTGGTATAAACGATTTGCAACTCTTGATGGAGACATTTTAAATTTATTTAAAGATGAAAACAGATCCACACTTGATAAATCATTTAAAATGGACTCAAATGCAGAAATTACAGTAATATCTCCAATTCGATTTGCCATAAAGAATTTAGAAGATCCAACCGATATTTTAACAATAAATTGTACGAATTCAGATGAAGCTACTCGGTGGATAACTGCCTTGAAAGGCGCAGCTATGCCAACTCCATCATTATCAATGGAAGATTTTAAGATTTTATCAGTAATCGGAAGGGGCTATTATGGAAAAGTAATGCTCGTAAATAAAATAGGAACAAATGAACTATATGCGATTAAATCAGTTCATAAAAGGCTATTAGTTGAATCAGGAAATACTAACCAAATTTTAGCCGAACGAAATTTTTTAATGCGAGCAAAGCATCCATTTTTAGTTTCACTATACTTTACTTTTCAAACAGAATCAAAGTTTTACCTTGGCTTAGAGTATGTTCCTGGTGGAAATTTAAGGTTTCACACTCATAACATTAGCACATATCCAATACCAGATGCCAAATTATACACTGCCGAAATCGGATCTGCAATTTCATATCTTCACTCCATTGGAATTATATATAGAGACCTAAAAACAGAAAATGTTCTTTTAGATAGCGAAGGACATGTAAAATTAGTAGATTTTGGTCTCGCAGCAGATGCAACTCAAGTGAAAACGGCCAATTCTTTCTGTGGGACTCCAGAATATCTAGCACCAGAAATAATTCAGCACAAAGATTACTCATTCAACGTTGATGAATGGTCTTTAGGAATTCTTATGTGTGAATTGTTCTTTGGTGAGCATCCATTCTATGATTCCAATCAACACGTAATGTATCAAAAAATAATCGAATCAAAACCAGCAATTCCAGATTACTGCGACGAGGAACTTAGAGATGTAATCAATCAGCTACTCACGAAAGATCCGCAGCAGCGTCCATCCTTTGCACAATTAAAATGCCATCGGTTCTTTTTAGATATTGATTGGGAAAAGCTTCTTAAACGCGAAATTAAGCCAGTCTATGTCCCTACAACGCAAGATCCACTAGATTTGTCTCATTTTGATTCATGCTTTACCAACGAAAGCGCTGCAGACTCCTTTGTTCAGCCTGCATTTGGAGATATTTCAAATGTCCAAGGATTTTCCTATTACAAAAATGAATTATAGTTTTATATGCATTATATTGTTTGTTATATTATAATATACATTTTAAAAATAACAAAAAATTATAACAAATTATTTTTGTTGATGAATTCTTTTTCGGATTAGTTTCAAATGTAAAGCTAATACAGCTTTTAAATGATCATCACCTCTAATATGGTCATAGTACCCTGCAAGGGATTTTTCAACAATTGCAAGATCGTCATTTGAGTGTTTGGAAACAACATCATCAGGAATAAAAGAAAGAATTGCTTCTCTAAAACTTTCTCTATAGATTAATGGCCGCCGCCACTCCCAAAACATGGAAGAATGTGCAAAATTAGTGTATTCATTCTCTGACAAATCGATCCGACGGATACAGCGAGCAAAGTCCTTATTCATATCAAAATGATTTAGTATGTCACTATATGGATCACTTTCGAGCATATAATTTAAATGCATTTCACTTTTTTCAGCAAGCTTATTCGACCTTTTCCGAACAAAGTTCAGAGTATCTTGGTTTGATGGATTAGGCTTATCTGATAGCTTAATAACAACCTGAAACTGAGAACACCTTTCGGAAGCTAAACTATTGGTGGTTCCAACAATTCTCCATCGTTTACTTCCATTAATAACATCTGCAAATCGTGGATCGCCGAGTCTGGTAAAAATAATATAATAATCAATAAATTTAAAAGGAGTTATCATTGATAATGCCGAAAAAACAGCATTTGATAGCTGAGTAGGATTATTGCCTATAAAAAGAATGCTTTGATTTGTGATTAATGCTTTCCAAATGCGTAATAAAATAGTATCTTTTCCAATATTAACTGTAGGATCAAAATTGCAAAATGGTAATCTTAAATCTGATGTTTGTACTTCGAAATCTTTATTTGGAAAAGAGAATTTTATAGTTTGAAAGTTTTTAGTATAATCCCATTTAAATATTAAGTCTTTGATGAATTTAAATCGAACGCTAGGTTCTAATTCCTTAAATTTGTCTTGGCATTGCTTTAAGAAATCTAAATAGAAGGATGGCATAGTAACTCTTGATAAAATTGTGATTGAGTATATCTTTTCGTTTAAAACGAATGACCAGATATAGCAAAGAAACTTTTTAACGGTAAAACTAAATATAATGTTCTTTTCTGTCTGTTCTGGAAAAGAACAAATAAATATTGACTCTTTTTCTTTATTAAATTCATAGTTTTGAGGATGAACTTCAATAACTACGGGGCCCTTTTCTCTATTATATTCTAAAAGAGTTAAAGCCTCACAAAAATTAGTCATTCAAAATAAAAATAAAAAAAATAAAAAAAATGTAAAAGTTATAGAACAAATTTATAAAAACAATAAATTATAGCCAATTTGCAATAGTTGGATCAATTATGTTGTAAACAGAAATTCATCAAAAGTGACACCTCAGAAAAGCTAAAATATTGAATTTTTGGAACTTTTGATAGAGCACGTTTTTAAATATTAATTAAAGTAAATGTATATTTTGTAAAGATTCTTTTTAATAAAAAATAAAATTTTGAAGAAGAACACAAAATCTTCTGAAAAATAATATCACATAAACTCATATTATTTTCTAATATATAACTATTTTATATAAAAATCAAATTCAATGATCTTAAAAGCGAAGGATAAACCTCAAAATTTACGAATATAATGAGTGGGAATATAATGCTTATCTATCATAAAACCATATGAAATATCAATTTTTGCTTTACGCCTAATTTTTGACGACAATTAGCAAAAAATGTTAAATGTTAACACTCAGTCCATTTGAATATGAAAAATAAAATTGACTTTGATTAAATGTTTTTATTTATCATGCAATTCTTCTTGCGACCAAAGATTTGAATAAAAGTTCAAAAAATAAGATAGCTTAAAAAATAATATACGGTAGTGTTTACTAATAGATGAATAGTATATAAATTCTATTAAAATGGATTTGATCCAAAAAATATAAACCAAAAATAATTGTTATAATTTAAATGAAGAAGTAATTTAAAACGATTTTATTTATGATCAAATTTTATATATTTTTTGGATCAAATCCATTTTAATAGAATTTATATACTATTCATCTATTAGTAAACACTACCGTATATTATTTTTTAAGCTATCTTATTTTTTGAACTTTTATTCAAATCTTTGGTCGCAAGAAGAATTGCATGATAAATAAAAACATTTAATCAAAGTCAATTTTATTTTTCATATTCAAATGGACTGAGTGTTAACATTTAACATTTTTTGCTAATTGTCGTCAAAAATTAGGCGTAAAGCAAAAATTGATATTTCATATGGTTTTATGATAGATAAGCATTATATTCCCACTCATTATATTCGTAAATTTTGAGGTTTATCCTTCGCTTTTAAGATCATTGAATTTGATTTTTATATAAAATAGTTATATATTAGAAAATAATATGAGTTTATGTGATATTATTTTTCAGAAGATTTCATTCTATATGCCTATGAAAAGTACTCTCAAAACTAACTTTTTCCTAATTATAATTAAATCTAGAATATTGTATTATGCTTAGTATTATTTCATTTTTCTCATTCAATTTAGAATTTACAAATGTCAAAAAATTGAGAGTTGTCACTTTTGATGAATTTCTGTTTATTACAATTACAGATCTTAAGAAAGCTAAACATTGATTAGCAATAACTTCAGAATCGCATTCATATTTAATTGTTTTGTTATCATCTGTATCAATTCTTAATTCATTATCAATAGATGCAACATTAACAAAATGCGATATGCTCTTATATGATTGTATTTTATATTTCTTTCCATCGAATGATGCCTCATAAATTCTTCTGGATGTAGAAACTATCAAAGGCTCATTACTTAAAATGACTTCAACTTTTTCATTGGATGAATTATCATTTTTCCTTATGACTGCTTGGAACTTCGATATCTTTTCACTGTACGGCATAACTCTGTTGAATGAAAGGCTTCTTTCTTGACGACTTCTTTTATGAACATCAGAATTTCCATCTAAAGCCTTTCTTGATGCTGTAATAAGCGAACCTGTGGCATCAATTACTCCTGAAACCGGATGCATTACAAGCCCAGTCAATCCAGTTCCAATTCCCTTGACGAAACCAGTAAAGCCATCTTTTTTAGCGCCTCTGATTGGATCCATTATTAAACCAACTGGACCGTCAACAATTGAGGATCCAAGGCTCTTAAATCCAGAGGCAACAGTCTCGCCCGCAGTTTGATTGACACCAATTCTGTTCTGAGATGATGCACCTTGAATAGTTGAAATGCCATGACTTGAATGGGCCAGTTTTCCTGCTGCAGTCGTAATTGTCTCACCAATTCTCAATGCAGTCGACGAAACAATTTTCCTGGCGTTTTCGTTAGACTCTCTCTGCTTGGCGATGTTAGCAGATATTCCGCCTATGTTGAAAATGATGTCAACTGAAAGGAATATCTTTGATATTTTCAGTTTGAAAGAATTCAGAAGAAGTTTGAAGATGTTCTGGAAGATAAACTCCGGACTTGAAACTAAATTTTCGAGGAAAATTCCGTCGACAACAAATCTCGCACTACTGGCAATAGGAATTAATGTGAAAGAAAAAGGCGACTGCTCCATAGGCCTTGCGGTTTCTGGTTCAATCGAAATATCAATTTGAGTCTGGGAGATATTGAAAGATTCACATGTTATAAGAGATTTTGAAGAAGATTTAAAGTAGATATAGTTCTTAATAAATATTTTTCGGAGAACTTGAATTAAATCGTTAAAGTAAGCCATGTCGGCATAGACTTCCAAGGTTCCATTTTGCACATTTATTGATTGGAATGAAGAAAACAATTTAGTATTGTTTTTCATCTCTAAATCAATAGCCAAAAATGAGCTAGAGTTTGCTGATGGCAATCCAAGAAGAGCAACTTCAAACAATGATAGTGGATGCATATCATCCAACTCAACTTTTTCAACACAGAATTTAATATTTGTAGTAGATTCCCTCCTGTCAATTGCAAATGAAACTCCGCTAATTGTAAGAAGAGACATTTCTCTGAATTTATCATCAATCAAGGAATAACTCAGATTTGACAGATTCACATTCATTGCAAAGTGTTTCTTCTCTTTCTTTTTCATAAGTTCTGAAGAAACGTAGATGAGTCTAGAGCCATTTTCACTTAGTATTTGCTCGACAAAAAAGTTGTCGAAATGGAAAACTTCATTTACAGAAGACATGGGAATTGTTATCTCTTTCTCTTTCACAGAGACAGTGATATTTGATACACCAAAAGGAGAATTATATGCAAATACTGATGTTGTACTAGGTTTAAACTTCTGGAGATGCTCATGACCTTCCTGAAATGCAAAGACATTGTATTTTGTTTCGTTGGTTAATATAATAGGAGATGATGTAAGGACAGCCTTTGAAAATGTGACAAGCATATTATCATTTTCTTTGGTTATTTCGAAATGAATTTGGGAAAAATCTCCATCGTGAAGAAGCAGAAAGTTTGTTGTTGTCGGATTCTGAAGAATTAGGGTTGTAGAAATTGGGGAATTCTCTTTCCAGACCAAGAATGTCCATGCAACAGATGAGATCGATATAACTGTCTTCTTTCCGCTCTCAATCAGCATTTCGTTGTCGGAATCGTTTGGCGATATGATCAAATTGAAATCAAGGTTGTTGAGAACGTACAAAGCAGAATAGAATGTGATGACTCTGGAGTGGCCAAGTGACAAAATTGTGTATTTAATTGGACAGTAAGTTACTTTATCTTCGTCGATTGGTAGTAAGTAGAATTGGTTGCCAGTCAAACCTACACACTCAATTGGAAACTTATGTGTCACTTTGGGATTTGTTACGAATGGATAGAACTTTATTGATCTCTTCGATTGAGATTTGAAGAAATCTTGGTCAGAGAAGCAAATTCTATTGTTTTCATCAAACTCATAAGTCTCTTTGTGTTGACTATCTGTGATGTTGAACTTGCATTCTGATTTGTTGTAAATAATAAGTGGTGAATAAATGGAAATGTGAACTTTCCCTTTTTGGTCGCTCATCACAGAGGCTGCAAAAGTATATTTGCCAATCTGACATGGAATAGTCATCTCTTTCGCACTGATATGAAGTTTGCATGGCTTGGCATCACTTCCATCTAAGAACACTTTCATAGAAAATGAAAGTGAAGGATCATAGCTGAAGCCTTTCTTCGAGTTCGATGGAATTGATACCTTTTCGATTACATTTGAGATTGCGATTGAAATATTTTCTGGCAACTCGTTTTCAACCACGAAATTGTATTTAATCTCGAACAGTCTGACATTCCTGTGAATAGTTGTCTCCTCGAATATGACTGGGAAGTGGTTCTTCCCGATTGGTAACTTTTCATGAGTTGTACCCATTTTGATCAGTTTCACGAACTCAAATCTCGGCAGCCTCTTTCCGTGTTCCATATTCTGCTTGTCGACGAAAGTTATTCTTTCAGTTGTCAATACTGATGATGGTAGTGGCACAAGTTTACCTTTCTCCATTTTCGATAGAAGTTCCCTCTTGTGCTCTGGGCATTTCTTGCACATCAATATCTCAAAATCTGTTTCGTTTTTGAACAAAACAATGGAACTGAAAGTAATTGATGTCTTTTCAAGACTGAGATCTCTATAAACAACAATGTTCTTCCTAAAATAAAGTGGATATAGCAGATCCGATATAGATAAGGACTGGATTCTCTGATTCTGACTGAATCTAATGCTAGAATTGACCTTTGTGTTAATTTCCTGGGATTCAAGCGATTTGAGACTGAAGTTCGATTTGCCAGGTACGGACACAGTCAACGCTTCTGCTGTATTGTTGAGAATAGTGAATGGAATTACTTTCTGCATGGATGTATCTCCACTTTGAACTCTCCGTATGGAATCATCCATAAAAGTAACTAATTCAGTCGTCGAATTGAAGCTCGGCGCTGTAGTTATCGGACCCTTCACATCAAACTTCAGTGCATTGTTCTGAGGACAAAATGACATGTCTAGAGGGAATGGGTCAACAGCTGTGTCCCATAGGTTTGTACTTATGTTGAATACTTCACATTTACTGACCATAATATGGGTGATGCTTTCTTCGAGAGTTTTGAAGTTGAGTCTAAAGCTGAATCCGTCAACAATTAGTCTCAAAAATGGAATAAAGTCGTTATCATTCTGCTGGGTAGAGAAAAACAACGATAGCTTCACTTTTCCACATCTCACAGACCAGTTTGATGTATACAAGTTGGAAATACCAATGAATCTTTCAAAGATCATTCTGAAGACGTGTGAGTAGCTCTTCACTGTCTGGCAGAAAACAGAGATCGCAGCAATGTCGACAGTAGTTAGGTAGAATTCTGGGTTTGCAATTCTGATACCTACTTCACTCTCGAATAAATCGAAATTGATGCCGAAGTTATTGGTTATTTTTGATATCGATTTTGAGTCCTTGAAGAATCCTAAGCAGAATTCTGTCAGAGAAATTTTCATGTTATTATCAGCAATCTCAAACATGAAATTAAAATTAACAGAGAAATACTCCTGGCCGCTACTTCGTATAGGTAATTTGAGGGACATTTCTTTGACATTAACGAAAAACGAATGTTTCTCGCTTATTCCCGCCAATGCAAACAGAGGTGACTTCCTGATGAATGAAACAAATTCATAAAAGAAACTGTAGTCGAAGTTAATATATAATGATTGGGCCGCAAGAGAAGAAGAGTTTTTGGATACTTCTATATCAAAAGATTGGTTTTGATTCTGTTTTTCGTTAAGATTTATAATTAATTCATTTCCTTTTAATTTGACCACTTTAAATGACTGAAAAGAAGCAGAGAAACCATGAATATTGTCAAGAAGCAGTTCCTTGAATTCGATCTGGCAAAGATCTTCAATTCTCATATATCCTTGGTCAATATTCAAATTAAGTTTGTGGCAAATTTTATTATCACTTTTGATAATTGAGAATTTCTTAAGAATTTTCAGCAATGTATAGGGTGTCCAAAGGTGTGTTTAGCACAAACCTGAATACTGCGAATAGAAATAAACAAGTTACATATATATAAAGTTTATTTAAATATAATCACCATTGGATTCAATCACGCGTTCGCAGCGATCGATCCAGGCTTGAAAGACACGCTTTAAATCATCATGAGAAAATTGCTCAAATTGCTCTCTTACAAAATTTTCAAGATCATCTGGACTCGCGAATTCGCGTCCTTCAGCTCTCTTTTTTAGCGTGCCGAATAAATAAAAGTCAGAGGGTGCAATATCAGGTGAATAAATTGGGTTTGGAACAACTTTGACATTGTTTTCCACCAAGTAATTCATTACCTTATGACTTTTGTGAACTCTTGAATTATCAAAATGAATTGCAAACTTTTGTTTTTGTTGTTTGGATTTCTCAAACTCATCAGAATTGATAATTTGAGTAAGAACATTGTCAATTAGATACTGAGCATTCATCGTATTAGGTTTTTGAAGAATATCAATTGCGATGATGCCATTCACGCCCCAAAAAACCGACAACATCATCATTGGTGTGTCAATTTTTTTCTTCGGGAATGTTTGCGGATTTTCATCCTTCGGGATCCACATGATTTTGGTTTCTGTTGCATATTGAAACCAAGACTCGTCCCCTGTTACTAAAAAGCGAAACTTCTTGGATTGATACGCACGCAATATAGAGAGGAGCTCTTTCGAAGATTGGACTCTAGATTTTTTTTGAACTGAATTAAGGTTGTGCGGAACCCAACGTGTATACGCTAGTTTGTAGTTCAAATAATTGTGCAGATAATAACTGACTGTTGTACGTGGTATCTTTGTCATCTCCTCTATCCTTCTGAGTGATGCTCTTGGGTCTTCATCTAGCGCTTGAAGAATTGCTTTGATTTTTCTTTGATCCGGCGATTTTTTGTCAATTTTTATGATGGGCGCCTTTTTGTTCATGAAGTGATACATCCTAACATGATACGTTACAGTGGAATAGCTAGGAGCATCCATACCGAAGCATTTTACCAATGTCTCGTAGATTTTTTTACAGTCTTTGCATTTTTTTGCAAGAGCGAGGATGTTTTCTTTATGATTCATTAAAAAAATGAAAAAAAATCCCGCCAAAATTTCCCGCGAAACCGCCTCTTGTCTCAAAATTCATTTTATATCCCGGCATGGCGCCAAAATACAACATACTCATCATATACATATATTCATATTTTTTATTATATATTTATAATCAGCATATATCTCCTTTAATAGTCTCATATAGAGCGCTGTGCTAAACGCACCTTTGGACACCCTATATTATCATTTTTCTTGGTTAAATTGATTTTTGCTACTTCGCATTCTAAAGTTGATTCGATAGATAGAATATCGCCTTTCGTCAGTTCTCCTTTAGAGCTGTTGTTTGGTAAAACAAAATGCAGGAAAAACTTTGCTTGTTGAGAATTTCCAATACTGTTTTTTGAGCAATATTTAATGAAGTCGCTTGAAATGTTGCAAATACTGTACTTCGTGTTTCGTCATTGTTTGCTAAAAATTTATTGAAACAAAAGGTAATTTCGTTTTGTTTTATCTTAAATTTTTCAAAATTTACCTTGAACTTGATAAGTTTCCCTTCAAATTTCTCAATCTGAAGTACTTTCTTCACAAATCCCAAAATAAATTCAACTGACTCTTCCTCGTAATTGAAGTATAAATCTCTGCACAAGGAGTCGACTTGTCCATCGAAATACTGCAGGTAGAAAGTTGTCGGGGAACTCATCATGACATCCTTGGATTCATTGAAAACTCTCCGTTCTGGGATATTTCGAAACCTGATGGCTGGAGATTGATATTCAGCTGCTTGTCATCATCAATAATCGATGCCAAGACATCCTTTGTTTCTATTCTCAATTTGATTTCTTTAATCAGTTCTGAGTCATCCTTGATAAATTCTAGGAAAAACTTGAGAAGTTCATCATTCAAAGCGATCTTTACTTGTGATCTGAACTGGAGTAAGTAGTATAGGTTTCTCGATGGAATCATTACTAAGTCATTGGACTGAATGAATTCTACTTCTGTGATGGACTCGCAAAGAGAGACAGAACTGATCTTACATGCAAACTGTTTTGTAACATTGATTCCTTTGAAAACAAGGTAATATCGTGGCTTTTTATTCTTGTCGATGAAGTTCAGCTTCATGGAGTTGATCTTTATGTCTAAGTTTGTGATAGAAACTGTATTTTGGAGGAGGTGTTCGAGCTTTCTGAAAGTGGAAAATGATTCCTTTGATAGATTGAACTCCCAATTTAGTTCACCTTCTGCTGTAAGGTTATTTTTCTTGCGGGATAAACACAGAGATATTGGGTTTCCGATTCTTTCGTCATTAATGCTTACAGAAATGCCGTCTTGTGTCAATGCCAACTTATTGTTTTCTGACCTATATAAAATCCTGTCAATTTCGAGGCCAATCATTGTCTTATCATTGATTGTGTGCGTGTGGTGCCTCGAAAAGAAAGCATGTAGCTGTGACATGAATGCAAGATCTAAATTAAAGTTGCATCTTGGGAATTCAATAGAAGTATCGTGTTTAAATGAAGAAATGCTTGTCTCTGAGTGGCCAGATACCTTCCCACTGCATTCGTAGAAAGATTTTTCGCCATTTCCGCAGCCGGTTATGTTGTGTCTTTCTATTTCGAAGCTGAATTTGAGTGAGTCATCATTAGTTTCTAATTTATTAGAGAATCCTGATGCAGTAATGTTGAGTAAAGGTACGGAATTTAGAATTAGTTTGAAATCCAACTCTTTCACACAAAAATTCAGCTGAAAACTCTTTGTTGTGATGAAAATAGGAGAATTTGAATCTTCTTCTGAATATGATTCAAATTTTGCATGTTTTGGCATGTTATCAATCATATACATCAGCGGCAAGAATTTATATTGATTGATCAGATTCCCACATGATGTTTCATCTCCAGTTTTCAATGTATTAATGATCTGTCTCCTGTTTTTCAAAATTGAGAGAGTTGTCTTTGGATTAAAATTCAATTTGTTATAATCTGACGATACATATGAATACGTATAGTTAAATAACGAAGAAAACTCATCAACTGTTAAGTCTTGGCAGGAATAAAATATTTTATTGTAAAGGTTGCCGATCTGGGTCTTAAAATCAAGGATTAACTTCCATTGATTATCAGTAAGCTGTGTTTTAACTTTATCTATGTTAATATCTAAAATTTTTTCTTGTTTTTCGCTATTATATTTGATTTTTCCTTGAAATGAAAATTTTTCAAGTATGTACTCATCCATTTCTTCTGCTCTCGTAGTTTTAATGGAAATATCTTTAAATGCGATTTCTTGATTTTGGATAGAAATCAATGGTAGCAAAATTGTAAGAGGATATGAGTTATCTTCGATAACTATATTAATTGTAACATTAGTGATTGAAACGTCAATCTTCTGAAGAATTTTTTGAGTGAAATGACTGAATAAAGATGTTTGATCTTTGGATAGCCAGTTTGTAATTTGATGTAAGAGGGCTTTAATCTGATATTCTTTAACATCACTAATTAATTTAATGGTCAAATCGAGTCCATCGAGAGTTAATTTTGAGTCTTCGATTTTGTTGTGAGAAAATAACTTTAATTCAAGTAACTGTGCAGAGCCCTTAACTATTTTGAATGGAATGTGGGCACTTAAAAGAATATTTTCTTTAAACTTAATATCTTTTTTGACAATTTCACCTTTTAAAATGCTTGCTTCTGTATCTCTTTCATCGCTCTCCTTTATATAGTTCCCTAAAAATCTAGAAACTATTTTGGAAAACAAGGATCTGCTTAGAAAGCTCATAAAAATATAGGAATTGCTAACCTTTGGCAATTTTCTATCGTCTATTTCAATTCACTTATTCAAAATTTTACAATAATAAAAGAAAAGAATTGAGGGAAAAAATCATACAACAATTAACAACATCGTTGGAATTCTCTCAAAAAATAAATTCTTCAAAAACTCAATCAAAAATGACAGAGCAATCCATAAAACTGTTTGAAGGTATATCCTTAATGTGGTTAAGAAGAACCTTAATTGATTCTCATTTTTGTAAATGAATCTGTGAAATTAATTCATAATGGATATTTACTCTTGCAAAGCAAGGCCATTTTCTTATCAATCACAAGCAATAGTATATATGTGCATTGCTGGGAATCAAAACTCATAAAAATTATAAAGATATATTTCACAGCTTTAGAAAATAAACTAGTAAATGGAAATTGCCAATTAATCTTCGGGATTCAAGGCATCTACAACGGCTTGGTATGTCGCGATGACAGCAGAAACAAGGCCAAACAGTGAAAATGCGATCATCAGTAAATTCATTGGACTGAACCACCGCTTTTTACTAAGAATAACGTAAAGAAGTGGTGGAACAAAGAAGTTTGATAAGCATCCACCAAATGCTCCGCCTACTTCAAATGCTGGTCGAATTTCAGGGAGGAACATGGCAAAAGCTACAGGTGGGAGGTTGGCAACAAGAAGAGCAATAACTCTCTTTTTGAATGGAAGGTCGGCAGGATCTTCGACGTGGCAGAAAATTGATGACAGATCTTGCATGACAGTAATGGATACAACAGCATACGATGCATTAACAACAATAAAGAAACCTACACGCACAATTTGCATAAAGATATCACTATGATCAAATGATGCATAAACAATTTGATTTGTACGCCTTCCGAATAAAAGATAACCAATTGTGCCAGGGATAATTGTGATAGAAAAGCAAGCTACAAATGATGCTCCAATTAATACATATCTCTTTCTCATATCAGGATTATAATTTCTGACAAGAGGTAAAACAACGGATGGAAAAGCATAAAGCATGGAATAAATGGCAAAAGCATTGAAAAATACGATGCCAAAAATATGAGATTCGCATGTGGGATCGATACCTTGGGATGGTAAAATTTTGATTCCCTCATACATCATGCCAGAGACATAGATAACCTGGCACAAGATTGCACCTGTTGAAACAATGCTCAGAATTTTCATTTCGCGGGGTATTGTAAGCAAGACAGGTAATACCATTGCATAAATAAATACTTGGAGTGAACGCTTTAATCCATGGTCCCAGTTCTTGAGCCCAGCAAGTTTTGTCCAACCAATAACTGAATCGGCGCCAATATAAAGATACGCAGTTTGGCAACTATAAGTAAAGCATAATGTGAGAGCAGAATACACGTTTCCACCCCACTTACCAATGATCTTTGTAGCAAGTTCGTTAATACTTTCTGCATCAACCTGATTTCTTAAGTATAAAACTAAAATTGTACCAAGATATGATAAAATGGTTGTAATAACCATTAATCCTATAGAATATATCAGACCGATTAATGTCATAGAATTACTGACGCTAAGAACTTCTGCTCCTGTTAATGTGTTTAAAATATTCATAAATGCTGGAAAGAATTTCATGTAATCATCTGGTTTTACTTGCTCTGATACTTCTGACAATAACGATGACTCCAAAATTTTAGAGTCACTCATGGAATTTTATGAATGAAAGATAAAAGTGACATTTTTTGAGTTCATGATAGTCTAAGCATCTGAAAAGACGGATCTCCAATTTTTGTGATAAATTAACGCCATCTATATAATTAGTTATTAGTATACAAAGAACTGAGGTATGTATATCTTTGATATTAAAAATTATCAACATATTCGGAAAATATACTACTCTTGCATCTTGTGATATGAGATAATATAAAATATGAGGTTCTTTTTATTATTTCTTCTAGATTAATACAAGCATATTTCCCTAATCTCGTTTAAATTTACAGAAATTGAAATGGAAGAAAATCAATGCGTGTGAAAGGAGTGATTGCAGATATCTCGGCAGTTTTTCAGACAAATTTGGAAATACTTAGCAAAATGCAATCATGGATGAAGTATACTCCAACTTTCTCCAGATATAACTCTACTGTAGTGTTTTAATGCCATTAAAAATATGGTTGGAGTTACAAATTAAAAAAAAAGCAAAATAACACCTTTATTTTATGAAAATTCAGCTAAAACTATAGCAGTATTATTCGTTTTTCATCTAAATACGAATTTTTTGGGTTCAAATTTTTTCGAAACTTCATTTATTTGGCCAGCCAAATAATCATTTTTCAATGATGCTATTTTCTATTTTGTGCCCGATAACAGTATCAATTCATATTTCCATTGACTTTGGATCTTTCATGACTAAATCGGCGGCATTTATTGAAAACGAACCACCACATATATTGACAAATTTGGATGCGAAAAGACTAACACCGACATTCATCAGTTTTTATGGTCCTAAACTCCCTGATTATGATTATTGTAGTGATATGAATCAATCTCTGGCTCAAAATTTAGAACCCCAAATCGGCATGCAGGCAATTCATCAATTAGAGAGTCGTCCATGGATGGGAACCGGATTTTTACCACAGTTTGTTGATGCTACTTCTAATTACACAAACATTTTTACAGAAAAGTATTTTTTATCTAAGAAAGCTGCTTGCTTAGAATATCTAGATGTACTACCGATATATTTCAGATATTACATTAATGAAATTGCAAAAGGAAATCAAGTTGAATCGGTTACATTAGCAGTTCCTGCTTATTTTACTGTTCCCCAACGTCAAATTATTAAAAAAGCATTAAACATTGCCGGATATTCTATTGTACAAATTGTTGATGATGTTAATGCTGTTGCAACCTTTTTTGGGTTTGAACGATTTAATCAGATGAAACATGAAAAGCCAATGATTTCATTGTTTATAGATGTTGGTGCTGTCAAATCAGAAGCATACGCTGTAAACTTTTCCTTAACAAGAAAAGGCCATATCAGAGCAGAGCGACTTACCTACAGCTACAATCATTGTGGTAGTGCAGACATAACTGCAAAGATAGCTGATATCATTGCAGATGAATACAACATGAAATTAACCAGAAGTGAGATGAGAAGAATATTTGATGCAGCAGAAAAGATCAAAAACATGCTTACTGTATCGCAAACAGCCGAGGTAACGATTGAAAACATTAATAGCCAAGATAGAGTTGCCAAATTTAATAAAAAGCAAATTGACAACATTGCAAAACGACAAGACAAATGCATACAAGGCATTATTAAGGCGGCCAAACCAGCAAGATATGATGAGATCAACATTATTGGTGGTGGAACCCGTGTAAATGCTATTCAAGATATGTTTCTTAAGCATGGATATGTTAGGAAACAGCTGAATGCAGACGAAACAATTGCATTGGGTGCTTCTTACATCTCGCAGCAGAAACGAAAACAAATGCTATCCACCCACGTCGAAGTTTACAACAAATTCCAGCTTTATTCTGTCACCATTGATGGAACTAAAGAAAGAATTGGCGAGTGCACAAAAGGAAGATTAACATCATCAGTTAAGTACTCTAGGAGACCTACAAGGTTCTTGACATTCACATACGGAAAGAACCAGACACAAAATACAAATACAACAACTTTCAAATACAAGTTGGAGAAAAGAATGAATTCCAGTGTCATACATGTTAATGATGCTCCATTCGAGCCGTCAATAATCACAGATAATGAGTTCAACCAAATTGAATTTGCGTACCAACACACTGCACGTTTCAATCCATCGGTCTTCAATGTCATTGTTTCTTCGGATGAAGACAAAAGAAGAATTGCAAACGCTATTTCTCTACTTGAACACAAGGCGCATGCAACACTCCACAATCTTGAATCAAATCAGACATATAGAGAGTACACAAACCAGTCAACTCGACTGTCAATCGTTGCTAGATGCAGAAAAATCATTGAATGGACACAACTAAACATAAATAACGCATCCCTGCTAGATGTTGAAGAACAGCAGAGCTACCTTGCAGAAGTACTCTCTCCCCTTGAAAAGAGATTAAGAGATACAGAAATTATTGACCAAGCCTTAGCTGTATTCTTACAATCACTGGAAATTGCAGAATCTTCTCTTGAAACTATTCCAGTAAAAGAGAAAAGGAAATTGAGCTCAATAATTCAGGAAAATCAGAAATGGTATAACATTAGAAAGGATATACCTGTAAAACTCGATGAACAAAGACCCCTAACTCCTGCAGATTTAATGAATCGCGCAAGATACATTTTGAATTTTGTTAATGATGCAAAAGGCATAAAGAATACAGCAGTAGATATAGACGAAAGTGAAGAACTTTCAAATATATTATCCCAATTTCTATAATTCTAATAAATGTTAGTAAAGAATGTAATTCAATTTTTTTTCCATCATGTAACCCTCGATGTCACTTTTGCGGCCGAGCGGAGCGAGGCCGCAAAAGTGACATCGAGGGTTACATGGATGGGTTCTATATATATACAGCTTGACCGGTAGAAAAGCGGATCGATTTTTATCAATAATTGGACATTCTATTTTTAATAAAATAAACATATATTTATATGGGAAATTAAGGAAATCTGAAACTCAAAAATTATTTTTGAATTTTAATATGATAAATATAATTGTGATCAAATATATATTACAAATAAAATATTAATTCGGAACAACGATGAGATGTGATAAATTTGATTCTTTCAAAAATCGATTTTGGGTTTTAATATTAATTTATATCTTATATGCATATAGAATATACATTAATTTTGAAACATCAAAAAGTGACAAATTGCGGTTAGAAAAAGTCATCAAAACACTTTATAATAATTTGATTTAACATAAGCATAGACTGGTTCTTTGATATTTAACTTCAATTTTCCGAAATGAAAAGGATTTGAACAAAAACGATTATTTTACGATTATTTTTTGTAAATTTTTTTAATTGAGACTGACATCTCTAAAATCTTCTACAAAATCCAAATATCAAATAAAATAATATCATTAAAATTCCTCTCAATTTAAAAAAATTTTATAAATTGAGACTTAAATTAAGGGTTTCGTTTTGCGAAAAAAACGTACAATACGCAATTTCGCTAAAAAAACATTTAGCTAGCAATTTCGACCTTTGACTCCACTCAAGACGTCACTTTTTTAATTTTGCGGTATCATATTTTTGGAAAATCTTTATGAATATTATATAAAAAGTCTCTTTAATATCTATATTTCATATTTTTATCGATTTTTAAAGTTTTTGCGAAAAGTATTCAATTATTTTTGCTATTTGGTCGGGTAAATGTCAGATTTGCGACATTTTCTGATATGATATTCAGATTCTACGTTGATAATAATGCTTATAGAACCCTCTTGCTATTGTGTCAAAATTGCGAAACCGATAGCAAAAATATCTCGCAATATCAAAATTGAGATATTGAGTGAATTATGCATTATAGAGATTAAAAATCTGATTTGTGAAAACATCTCATCAGTTTCTAGCTAATTCAAAAATCTTTACTATCTTATTCGATTAAAATGAAAAGGGAATAGTTTCATTATGCTTTAAATGACAGCCTTATAATATAATCATAGTTTTCGCTCAATATGCAGCATTTTTTTTTCGAAATCTATGGTCAATATCCTAAATACTGATTGCTTTGCATTCATATCTCTTACATTTTCTATACCCACATCACTATTCATTGCTATTCCTATCTTTTTCATTTTTGTTTGTTTCTCATAATTTCTCAAAAAACATGATAACTTGATATTTGTAAATATCATACTTTATAACGTAAATAAGAACTTGACCTATTAAGAAAAGCAGTAATGAAAAGAAAATCTGAAATTCATAAAAATTACAAGTTTCTGATGACAATTAGCTTAACTAAACCAGGTACAAGATTATATAATTGTATTTTCTATCCAATTATCCATATAATATCTTATCCAGAAAAAATAACTTGATCAATACCAAATGATTTTTTAACTAGTAAATAAAGTATTTTCTTTACACACACATTGTATATCATATTTTTTTGGTTTCGCAAAACATCCAAAAACAAATATGCTATAAAAGTGACAATTTTAGCAAAACGAAACCCTTACTTCAATCTCTAAAATCTTCTAAAAAATCCATATATCACAAAAAATCACGATATTATTTTTATTCTCAATTTCAAAAATTTTTTTGTACTGACTTTCTTTTTGCATAACAGCAAAGCAGAAATTTGAAACGAAGTTTCAAATTTCTCAATCTTGCATTCTGGGCACGTAAGTGCCCAGAATGCTAAAAGGCGCGTAGCGACGTCTCTGAATATCAAATTTATTATAATTTATGAAATTTCAAATAAAATTTATGAAATTTCAAATAAAATCGATCTGTTATAACACACTGGTGCATGACAGCCTTGTCATTCATTTCTATCGGCGCGCTCTGCGCGCCGATAGAAATGAATCATATATATATAAGAAAGATTAGTACACATTTCAAAAAATATTGTAGAATCATAAAACATTTCTATATTTAAAAAAAAAAAAAGGTATTGGGGCTTCCAGGGCTGCGCCCCTCTAGCCCCTGAAGATGTTTAGTATAACAAGTAAGGGTCTATCGTCGCTACGTCACCAGGTCCCTCGGTCCCTCGGTCCCTCGGTTAAACCAACTTCTCTGAAAAAATGAGACAACATGACATTTTGACAACAGTCCAGGAAGTCTTAACAAGATAGAATATGAGAGAGGTCCTATAAACCGGAGAAAGTGTCATATAAACATCTGTCAAAAACCTTAACCGAGTAGTTTTCATGTTTTGTCACTTTTCTGTCACTTTTCAGGGAAAAAACATTTTTATTAAATATAAAATGAATTTTACAAAACCACCGCTACCCTTCTTTGGAAATAAGAGTAGATGTAAAGATATTCTATTGAGAGAACTTAAGAAACTACCGAATGGTCTAACATTTGTAGATTTGTTCGGTGGAAGTTTCTATATATCTCATTTGTGCCATACTGTATTTCCTGACTCAAAGATTATATGCAATGACTTCGACAACTATACGAACCGTCTCAAACATATACCAGACACAAACAAAATATTGAAAGAGTTAAAAGAAAAGATACCTATAGGTAAGATGGAACGTATACCATTAGATAAGAAAAATACTGTCAGAGAGGTTTTGAAAAAAGCAGAGTATATTGACTGGGATAGTATATCTTCTAGACTATTATATAGTGGTGCTATAAGAGTTCATGACATTGAAACACTATGTCAAAAGTTTTATATCTTAACTATACAAAGGTTTTCAAAGAGAACATAGAAAAATATACTGAGGGTATAGAGTTTGTGAGATGTCGTTGGACAGAGTTGTATGAAAAATATAAAAACAAGGAAATGTTTTCTTTATAGTGACCGCCGTTCTATAACACATGGGATTTTCAATACCAAGTAGACTGGACTTTGAGAGACTCTTTAGAAACTTTAGACGTTTTACATAACCATCCATGCTTTTACTTTACATCCGATAAAAGTGGTTTGGAAACCGTTATGAGATGGTTAGAGGACATACATGACTATGAGTTTAGATATGACAAGATAGAATATGAGAGAGGTCTAAACCGGAGAAAGTGTCACAACAAAGAAATTTTATTGGTAAGTAAATGTGGTTTGAAATAGGACTACTTGTTTTAGGTTTTTTCCATTGTGTCATTTACTTATTTGAGTGGCAGAAAGATATAGAGAATATGAAGATGAACCAATGTCTGCAAATGTTCAGCATATGTACTCGTAAGAGATATTTTTATCTAATATTAAATGGACGCACAGAACTTAGCGAATGCACAGCAACCTGGACAACCAAACCCAGAGAATATTCCAAATGAAGTTAGAATACAAACTGCAATGGCAAACTATGGTCAAGTGCCAAAAATGTACAAATGCAAACTGCCATGTCAAATGACGCTGCGTTAGGTTTGCCACCATGGTATGCAAATATGAGATGGAAAGAGTTTTATACAAACCCTGAAGTGGGATATAAACACTCTATGCAGATGACGCGAACACAGGAGTTGACCCAGAGTATGTTTTTTTACCAGAGGAGAAATAGAATGTATGAGTCCAGTTAAAAAATGCAATGGAACTCAACAGGAAACGTAAGAGACTAGGCGGACATTAGATTTTTACATATAGTAAAATGGGTTTCTTTGGAAGAATAGGAAACTTCTTTCGAAATGTTGGAAGAGGTATATGGAATGGAATAAATCTGTCGGAAGAGGAATTTGGAACGGAGTCAAAAATATGGTAAAAGAGTAGGTCAGTTCGTTGGTATTATACCTAAAGACCCTGAACCAGAAGAAACAAGCTCCTGTTATACAACAGCCTGAACCTGCACCACAGTCTAGTTGGCAACCAAATCCAACACCTCAACGTATTAAAAATATATATTTTTACCGTTCGATAGTAGTTGTATATGAACTAAGTTCTAAGTAAAACGCATGGTATATGGAATTATTCTCTTTCTTCCATCTGTTGTAAACCATACTTGAAAGTCTGAAATACTTCCACTTGGTGGTTTCATATAGCTTTGTAGGTTTTTCGTAAAAAGTCATTTGCCAAGCATAAAAAGAGTTTGTGCACCAGAAAAATGAAGCATGAACTATAATAGCATCTGAGTCGAAAACATTTTCATATGTTCCATTAGGGTTTTCGACTTCATAAAAGTTCGGGTGTACTGGATATGCTGCAGGCTGATTTAACATCCTCAAAAAATCTATACCATGCCAAGTTGTTATATTTTGTAGAAATATAAACGTTTTCTCCAAGGTCTTCTATTCTATCGATTTTAACAGTTGCATTTTTCCTGTCATATAAATATCGAGATGGTACTCTCCTTCGTCAATGTTGTACTGTTTTGCATATTCGAGATAGATATCGTATTATTTTTCTTGAAAAGCTGAAGAGTTGTTTCTAAGTTTACAAGCAAATTCACTTGTAAAAGTTTCCCTGTTCAAATTTCTCATACGTACGTTTCTCTTTGTTATAGTATCGAATTTCAAAAGCGACCGTAAATGGGAAACCATGTATGGCTTCTGAAATGAACTTCATTCTACGAAGCCAACAGCTTTTGTGACGGATGGGTCTCTTAACCATCTTAACGGGTAGTCAAAACGATAGCCTTCATGCTTTACGGTCTCTGTCTCAAACTTTTGACCGACATTAGTAAAAAGTTCATCTAATGGTTTAGTTGTAGCAACTCTTGAATTTTCTTTTTCTATTGAAAGCATATTTATCTAGAATAAAAATGTCGAATGAAACAGCGTCTATGAGAGAAATACAACACAACGACAACTCATTTTGCAAGCT